GTAATTGCCACTGGTAGATGGCTCAGGGCTATGAGCATGGTCCCATATTTCTAGTCCTCAAAAAACAAGTATTTTAATGAAACAGATCAGAACTCAGGAAGGGAAATCTCATTACAAACACACACAGAGCGTAACTTTCATGTAGTTTTTAAGCTAATATCAGAGCTTTTATGTACCAAATGCAGCATTCAACAGGACTGATAGAGATCTGAAATGTGTAGATTAATGTCTTTATCTTAGAGTATGTAATATTACTTTAATTAATACCTGCATCCATTGCAGTACTTGCGAATGATGGAAATCTGACACTACGATATTTCTTTGTCTTTTTTCACATCTCGTGCTGGTCAGCTGTTATTCTGATGCTCCACCTGTGCTGTCGGATTTACCCAGAGAACAGCTGTGCAAACATACACCGCCGATGAGCAGGTCTGCTTGTTTTTGTACTGCTGAAGTGTGTGCTGCTTTCGATAAAATACGGATCATTATTGAAGTGGACTGGCTACCTTGCACTCGACTGAGTGCATCTTTGCTAATTTGTCCTGCTTACTAAATTTGCCCCCTAATGTCAGATGATCTGAACCTCTGTCTCTCTGACTATGAGCATCAGGTGTTTGTTTATATAAGAGCAAGAATACACATTAAAAATAGCATTGCATTAAAAATGTATTGTTTAAGAGTTACACAATTCACTAGAGCTTTCCTACCATCACAACTGGGCCACCTCACCCAAGAAAAATAATCCTCTCGCACGTTTTCTCCCAGCCTTTCATGTCACGTTGTACTGAAATTAACTGCAGCAGGGTACAAATGTCCCCAACAGTTGCTTAAAATGAAGCAGAAACAGGAATTACAGGTTCGATTCAAGCTGGCAAGTTGCGTGTCTCTCAAGCCCTCGGCGGCGACGGCCTCTTTCCCGTGTCAGCAGAAATACAGACCCTGCACTGCTGCAAATTTGGACCATGAACACTGATTTGATTTGGTGCGCCTTAAACGAGGCTGAGGGAGAGCAAGAGGAATAGAGTGAATGTTTGTGCAAAAAGACGAACGGGAAATGGTAACTGCGTGCTGCGGTACGCTGCGGTTTCTCCACAACATGGGCGGGAGGTATTAGTGAGTAATTGTTTGACGTTTTACTTCAGCAAAAATAACTGTATTTCCACAGCAAAATAAAACCAGTAAAACAGGATTTGCTCTAAAGAGCTGCAAAACAGTGGAAAGACTTACTCTTTCTCCTTTATCGCCTTTGGTACCAGCAGGACCCTGGAACATAAAAGCACAAGAGGAGAATAAACAGTCAACAGGGCTGAATGCTCACACACAGCCATCTCTTTTTCTATCCCCATCTTATCAAGCTCCATCTCTTCATCTCTTTTCATCTCTGACATAACAGCTAGTACAACTAAATACATCTAAAATATGACAAAATGAGCCCAGAGTCTTTGTTTTCTTTCCATAACACTCATGAGCTCCAAAGTTAGTGTGCTCACAAACAGAGGGCATCATCTGTGTCTTGGATGGGCTTGCTTTCCTCCAATGTCAACACTGTAAAGCACAGAGATGCATATCTGAACACAGTATGCGCATAATCTGAAATACCTGCCAAGCTTGCATATCAGAGGCAAATAAAAGACAAAGATTTCCTGGCTGCGTGAACCGTGAGCTGATACAATAAATATAAGTTTGATGCTGCTGCAGCTTTTGAATAGAGTTTTGTTTATCTTGGGAAAACGTGTCCTTGACCACCACCTGACAGGCTGCGTTTGTGTGTGTGAGGGAGGCTGAGCTGAGAGGGATAGAGAAAATGCGTGCATGCTGGCCCGGGATATTATATGCGTATTATACCACAGATGATAAAAAGGCTTTGCCAACATTTGACACAGTGGCTGAATTGGAGTGCAGGTCTGAACAATAAAAGTCTCTTCCTGGACCTCCGCTGCGTGCCTGTTTGGAGGTTCTGAATCTTCC